AAAAAATGTAAAAAATTATGTTAATTTTAGTATTATTGCTATGTGAATTATCAATTTAATTAGATAATTCATATATTAAAAGTTAATTTTTGTTCTAACATAAATTTGTAATAAAAAATATATTTATTACATTTTTTACACCTAAGAATGCTAAGTTAGAAAATTTTTAAATAAAATAAACATTAATAAAGAAAAACCTATATAAAATAAACATTAATGACAAAAGAGGTATACAGCTTATACCTTAAGACCTACATAAAGAAAGAAGAAACTTAGTTACACTTTAAGAACTAATGAGGCAGTTTAACCCTAAAGAAAATGTGACAAACAGAGGTAAGTTTGTTGGAGTTCTGGTGCCATTTATTTACTAACAAATGAGAATTGTCCATGACATTGCAGGGGGATGGTTTATAAACTAATATTTAAAGTTTGAAAATATCCTAAATATTATTAAAATTTAAGTAGAATCTAAATAAATGTTACAAAGTCAAATTATGAAATAAATAATACTTAGGTTCTCTAAATATCTAATATTGATAAATAAGTCCAAAAACTAATCCAGGTCTCAACTAAGTCCAAATCAAATCTAATATGGAACCGTTATACACCCTGATATCTAGTGTCTATAACATCGTTACCTAAAATAGTGGATAAGAAAAAAAATATGAGATATAATTCTAGTAAATGAATATCCAATTTCCCTTCTATTTTTAATTAAGCATGCCAACAAGCTCAAATCAAGTATAAAGTAAATAGGTACAAGTAATGAAATAGATGCCTTCTTTATACATCACAGTTAATGTTTATAAATCTCCCACTAATGAGTATCAAGATTCAAGATTACTAGTGTTACACCCATTAGTAGGATAACAAGTGTAACAACAATAAACCTATTCTATAAGTAACATGTTGATTATGTATCAACATTTATAAACCTCTCATTGGCAATCAATAAGTAAAACATGACTATATTGGATATTAAAACAGGCTAGTATGTATATATCAAGTAAATATACTCCAAGAAAATAAGAATATCACATATTAAATAGCATGTGTCAAATTAATTTCCATTAAATAGACATGCTTAACTAAATAAAATCCAACTTAAAATTAAACCAGATTTAATCATGATATCTAAATAAAAATGGGCTTTTTAATCTCCACCATCTTAGAATTAGTAGAAATCGTTCTTTAAATAAAAACAAATTTTTAATTCCCACAATCCGAAAATTAGTAGAAATTATTATTTTTAATTATAATTTAAAATTCAGGGTATAACTGTCAAATTATTTATCTCGAATGGAAAGAAAATATAACTACAAGATAAAATCTTAAAGTTGGGACAAGCAAACAATTAAAAATCTAAAATTTACATAAGAAAATAAGAAGCTAAAATTTGGGATCAATTATAAAATTACAAATTTACCTTTGACCCCAATTTAATTTAATTAATTTTTTATTTAATAATATTTTTATTTAATTTCTCAACAGGTACATTTAAACTTGTTTTGTGACCAGCATTGGGGATGTTGACACTATTGTGTCCACCCTTGGTGAATAACAAGGGCGCTATTTATCACACTGATATTAGTACAACGAGCAGCACCCTGACTCCTTTTTCTTCTTTTTTTTTTAAGCCCAATATGCGTCAACACCTCTGTTACCAGAATCAGCGTGTTGGTTCCTGTGCCATGTACAATTCATGGTGCAGCCTCCCTTTTTTTTTTTTAGTATTATTTTTATATCAATTATTAATTAATTATTATTATTTATTATTAACGGGCGCTGCTTCCCATCGGCGAAGTGCGCTAGTGTTGCAGTGTCGAAAGTTGGGCCCTTGCATGGCCCTAGCCCAGTGGTGTCCCAGTGCACTAGGTCATGTGTTGGGTACCCCGTTCATCCGTTCTGGGCTCGGTCAGCACCCCTGTGCTTGGTTGAGCCACCCTTCCCTTCATTCAATTTTCCTTTGAGTCAAAATATGAAAAACGCATTGGAATTCAAGTTTAGGACGCAAGACTTGAAAAAATGACTTGAGCAACAAGAAAAAATAAGGATTATAAAAATTTCAAGATCAAGTTTTAGTACTGCAATACATAAAAATACACAAGAAATCAAGAAAATCGAGCGATCTTACCTCTCAAATTATTGATTTTAGAAAGGAGGATCTAGGGTCCATATCTACAGCCTATCAATTTATTTAATTAAAATGAAATATTTTCTATTTAGAACTTAATCAACATCTAAGTGTGTAAAGAAATTGTTATGCAATAAAAAAAACAAATGATTGTTTAATTTACATGACTGCATATGATTCCACCTTTAACATAAAGGTTATTTTGTTCAAATTCAAGTGATTAGGAGCTTACATCCCACAATTTTTTTCTTTAAGGGATTATGTGAGAAAATAAGAAAAATTTAGGGGCTTTACATTGTGTTTTGCCATGTTCTTCCTCTACTCTTCACTTTGCAAAACCCATTTTGTGGTTTTTGATTCTATTTGTTTCCCTAGAAAGTAAAAGATTTTTTTTTCCTTCCATGGAATCTAGAAAAGAGAATTGAGCAAATGATATGGTGTTGCCCATGTCAATGATAGAAGAACCTTTAACAAAGGAAAGGGAAAATGTAAAGCTTTCTTTTCATTGGTAGAATCATCCACTCCTTCCTTTTCATAGAACATCATAGTGGGATCTTATTTAGCATGGCCTAAGAATCTCATATCAAGGTTGCAAAAAGTGCTAGACAATGGTGCACCTAGGGAGTGCTTAGGCGCTATCTAAGCACTGTTAAGGGTTCTAGGTAGTTTTATTTTAGGTTTAAAGCCAATTGTCATCCCTCTACTTTCATATTTTATTCATTCTTGTCCCTCTACTAAGGATTTATTCATTGTTGTCCCTCTACTCTACCAACGAGTCAAACGTCGTCCCTCCACTCCTTTTTTTTTGGTTCGTTGTCGTCCCTTCCCTGATGCCATTCATGTTGCCATCACTGTTGACTATTAAGTCCTAAACAATTAGTAGTTAAACCCATTTGTTCTATATTTTTTTTCACATATGTTGCCACATCTACTACCATTTGTGCAAGAATAGGGACCACTTTGCCCACTTTGCCCACTTTGCCTCCCAACTTACTCAGACCTTGAACTTCTTTTTTTTTGTTGCAGAGATGCCATACTTTCAAATTTCTTTTTGTTGCTAGGATGCCAATAAAAACACCTACAAAAAAAGTAAGACAAGTGGGAAAATAAGAAGAAAAGGGGAAAAAAAGGTAGCATACTTTCAATTTTCTCGCTTGGCTATTCATCACATGACCACGTTGGGTAACATATATTGTTTAGCCCTATTTTATCTTTATTACCCAAAATGTGAAAATCTCAGGATACAGAGTACAAGAATACAAGAATCCCTGAAAAGGGGAAGGCATTGTGTTTTGAGCAAATTGCTGAGGCTTTTTAGGAGGTAATAATCAATTAGTAATCTATGATTAAAGATCAATTAAATATAATTTTATGGTGTTAATTATTTTTTTGGTTTTGTCATCCACTTTGTAGAATGAAATAGATATTATTCTTTTGTTTTTTGGCAAAACCCTCAAATCTACCCTCAAAAAATAGTGGTAGGGACACATCCACCCCTAAAAAAAAAAGAGACAAAAAGCCCCCCCAAAAAACAAAAAAAAACAAAAAACACCCTTTTCAAAAAAAAAAATCGCAAAACTCTATGCCACACAACAACATTTTAAAAGAAAAAACGGAAAAAAAGGGGAGATGTATAGAGATATAAGATGAAGAGGCAAAATGTCCCCGCGCTTTTTTTTAGGGGTGAATGTGTCCCCACCGATACTTTTTGAGGGTGGATTTGAGGCTTCTACCTTGTTTTTTTGTTCTTTTCTGATATGTGGTCCCTAATTGTTGTAGGTGAAATGGTTGACTTTGTTGAATATGGTATACACTTGAATTATGGGGGTAGATTCGTTAGGGACCCAACACTTTGGTATGTTAGAGGTAATTTTCATGGCATATGGCTCAAACCCAGTAGTTTTGAACCTTGTATTTTTAGAGAGAAATTCTAAGGCTTGCATATTGACATAGATAGCATGACAGATTTTGTGTGGTATAAAAATCCTGCAAAGACGCTTGATAATGGCCTTATGTTAATTGTTTTTGATGATTCAATTGTTGACATGTTTGAACTACTAATGTATCATGGGTATATAGATGTTTACGTTGAACATGAATCTGAAATTGAGAAAGAAGTGACAAAAGGTGGGCCTTCTCATAGGAATAAGGGTTCAGTAAATGATGTTTTAATGGTTGATGAGATAATAGCATGCAATGTAAATTTGTATACATTTGGGGTTGATTTGGAATAGGAA